CAGAGAAACCCTCTCTTGAAAAGCAAAACAAAACAAAACAAAAAAGAAAGCAAGCAAGAAAAAGAAAATAGGGGCTGGAGAAATGGCTCAGAGGTTAAGAGCACTGACTGCTCTTCCAGAGGTCATGAGTTCGATTCCCAGCAACCACATGGTGGCTCACAACCATCTGTAACGAGATATGGTGCCCTCTTCTGATGTGTACATGGAGGCAAGGTGTTGTATTTGTAATAAATAAATCTTTAAAAAAAAAAAGAAAAAGAAAATAAAAAAGAATGAAGAAAAGAAAGAAAGGAGACAAAGGAAAAAAGCCACTTGGAGTTTGGCTGTTGGTATAAAGGACTAGGAATGGTGGTGCATCTGCAGGTCTAAGAGTCAAGGTGTTATGTTAACATTACCTTCATGGCCTGGATTTAAGTGGATGAGTAACTGTTCAGACAGTTCTTATGAATATGTTATGTATATTAATTAGAATACAAGCCAACTAAATTTTTTTTCATCTCAGTCGGGATCACTTATAGTGCAGGCTAGCCTTGAACTATTATGCAGCCTAGAATGTCTCTTATTGAACTCCTGATCCTTCTACTCCCACCTCCCAAGTGCTGGGACCACTGGCATGTGCCTGGCTTTAAATTTGTGTGTGAGCATGTGATGTGTGTGTGTGTGTGTGTGTGATGTGTGTGTGGGAATGTGTGATGTGTGAGTGAGTTATGTGTGTGGTGTGTGTATTGTGAATGAGTGATGGATGGTGTGTGTGTGTGAGTGTGTGTGTGTATGTGTGATGCATATGAATGTGTGTGAGTTCGATGTGTTTTGTGTAAACGTGAATGTGTGTAATGTTTGTATGTGTTGTGCATGTGTGTGTGAACATGTGAGATGTGTGTATGTGTGTGATGTGTGTATGTTTGTGTGTATGATGTGTGTGTGTTTATGCATGTGTGTGATGTGTGTATATGAGTGCTGATGTATAGACAGACATCACCCATGTGGCAGTCAAAGGACAATTTTCAGGAACTGGTTCCCACCTTCTACTATATGAAACTCCATTTCCCTGAGTACAAGCCAAAGCTACAGATAGCCTATAGGACTGAAGAACATGACCACCCTCTCCTCCCCTTTATTAATCTTTTAAGGCAATGTCTCTCCCTATAGATAGAACAAGCTGGCTTTGAACTCAGAGAGATCCTTTTGCTTCTGTCCCCTCTTCCTGAGTGCTGGGATTAGAGGCTCAGCTGCCTTGCTTGGACATCCCTGTATTTTTAAATAATGGGAACAGGGTGTAGGGCTTGTACAGACAAAGCAAATAGTCTGCCATTGAGCTACTCCCTCAGTCCCGTCTCTACCCCCTCACAATTTTGTTTTGTTTTTTGAGACAGGCTGTACTGGAACTTTCTCTGTAGACCAGGCTGGCCTCGAACTCACAGAGATCTTCCTGCCTCTGCCTCCCAAGGGCTGGGATCAAAGGCATGCACTACCATGCCTAGCTCTACCCTTTTCTAAGCTCAGCTTCTTGTTTTCCTTCACTGTCTTTCCACTTTACTCAAAGACTTTTCCAGTGTTTTCCAAGAACAGGAGATAACCTCTCTCTGCCTCAGGGTCTTTGCAGTAGTCTCTTTCTTTCCTTGAATTGATATCCTGCTAAATTATTCCCCACAGGTCCCTCCTTTATCCGACAAATATTCAACAAGTATTCAAATGTCAATTAAGAAAAGTCTAAGCCGGGCGTTGGTGGCGCACGCCTTTAATCCCAGCACTTGGGAGGCAGAGGCAGGCGGATCTCTGTGAGTTCGAGGCCAGCCTGGACTACCAAGCGAGTTCCAGGACAGCTTCCAAAGCCACAGAGAAACCCTGTCTCGGAAAAAACCAAAAAAAAAAAAAAAAAAAAAAAGGAATGAAAAGTCTACACTGGCCGGGCGTTGGTGGTGCATGCAGTTGATCCCAGCACTTGGGAGACAGAGGCAGGCGAATCTCTGTGAATTTGAAGCCAGCCTGGTCTACAGAGCGAGTTTCAGGACAGGCTCCAAAGCAATACAGAGAAACCCTGTCTCAAAAAAACAAAACAAAAATGCCTACTCTAACTACTTCAGTTAAAACAGTCATACAGGGGCAGCAAGATGACTCCGTGGATGAAGGTGTTTTCAGCACAGGGGGAATGTAGGGAAAAGGGGCCAGCCAAAGAAACACACCCTGAGCAGAGCCAAAGAAACACACTTTGGCCCTGCAACCACAACCAAAGAAATATACCCTGGCCCTAAAACTAGAGCCAAAAGGCTAAAAAGGACCAGTGGAAAAAAACACATTTTGGCTTTAAAACCAGAGCCCAATCTGACCCTAACCCTGTGCAGAAAACTAGCCAATCCCTGAGCAGAAGTTTAAAATCTGACCAATCCCCACCCTGGAAGCCCTATATAAACCCTGTGTCTGTTCAAGTTGTGGCTGTTCGCGCTACCCAACTGTCTTTTGCCACTCTGGCAGAGGGCAGCCACTCTTCTGGATTCTTCCCTACCAATAAACCCCTTAGATGAGTTTTGGGTGAAGACCTTCTTTTGTGGTGGAGCAGAAACGACCCTGGGCAGAGCAGAGCAAGCAGGGCTGTAACACTTTGGTCAGGGAAACCTTCCCCTGGCAGAGCGGAGTTGTTACCCTCTGCTCTCCACTCTCCTGGGAACAGAGCTGAACTGTAGTAATTTCACCCTGGAAAGCTTCTCCTCCCGGAGCAAAACTGTTACACTGGGTAAATATCCCCAGCTGGAAGACCCTCTCCTGCTGGAGCAGAGCCGATACACTGGGAAGCCTTTCCCTGAGGCAGGGCTGTAAGCTGCTACGCTTACTGCAACCTGCGGTAGTTCTTGGCTCCTGAACTCCAGGATACCTTCCCGTCTGAGCTGTGTAACACTCAGTATTCTGTGACTCCCAGGTGCCAGAATACTTGTCCTATCTGATCTGTTGAAATACCTACACTGTTGACCTGAGTTAGATCCCAGGAATAGACCCTGAGAAAGATGTTCTCTGACCAACACACACACACACACACACACACACACACACACACACACACACACACACACACACACACACACACACACACACACAGAGTGAGGAATGCACATGTCCCCCGATCCCCCCCATTAACAACAATATATGAAATTAAAGAAATGGTCATAGTCCGGCATGTAGTCCACATCTTTAACCCCAGCATTCAGGAAAGGGAGGTAAGCAAGGTAGGTAGATGTCTGAGTTGGAGCCAGCCTGGTCTACAGAGAAACCCTGTCTCAAAAAACCAAAATAGCCGGGAGTTGGTGGCACACGCCTTTAATCCCAGCACTTGGGAGGCAGAGGCAGGCGGATCTCTGTGAGTTCGAGGCCAGCCTGGTCTACAAAGTGAGTTCCAGGACAGCCTCCAAAGCCACAGAGAAACCCTGTTTCGAAAAAACAAAACAAAACAAAAACCAAAATAATTCCAGGACAACCAGGACTGTTTCACAGAGAAACCTTGTCTCAAAAAAACAAACAAACAAAAAACCCAAAGAAACAAACAAACAAAAACTAAAAAAAAAAAACCCAAAACCAAAACCCCCCAAAACAAAAACAAGCATAAAACCAAAACAAACTCCCAAAATAGAATAATAAAAAATGGTCATGCTGTTAGGCTTTCCTACTTTTCTAGTGTTTTGTTTTGCTTTTTCTGTTACCCACGCCCAACTGCAGTCTGATGCTAGAAATAGTGGTCAACTCCTTAAAGTTGGAGTCAGATGGCTGTGAGCCCCCATGTGGGCACTGGGAATTGAACCCGGTCCTCTGCTAGCTCTCCAGTCTGCTGATACATCTGTGGAGCTCCCAGTTCATCAGTTTTAATTTCATGCTTCATCAAGATGCAGCTGTTCAAGAAAATCTCATTTATCTGACAAAGTCGTCCCTCCCCTCCCCAGCAGCATACTGGTACTAAGAACTTGCGCATTCAAAACAAGTTATGAAGTGCTTCTTTTCCGTGAAATTTCTCAACTTAGAAAAAACAAAGGCAGAAATAACAAACAAACAACAAAAACGCTTGCCAGGATTGCTAATTCAATATGGGTGAAACTGCAAAAAACGAAGAGATTAGTTAGTCCTAACTTTACTTCAAGCCGTAAAAGCTATGGTCAGGGTGTATAGGTTGTTTCTTTCCTTAACACCGCCCCCCCATCCCCCCCCGCCAAAAAACAAAACTAAACTAAACCAAACCATCAGGGGCAGCGGGAAAGCCTAGCTATTTTTTGTTTGTTTTGTTTTTTTGAGACAAGGTTTCTCTGTGTAGCTCTGGCTGTCCTGGAACTCTTTTGTAGACCAGGCTGCCCCTCTGCCTCCCGAGTGCTAGGATTAAGTGTGCACCTCCACTTCCCGGCAAAAGGAATAATTTTTTTCTTTCTTGGTTTTTCGAGACAGGATTTCTCTGTATTGTTTTGGATTTTTTTTGTTTTAAACAATTTATTTAAGTTTATTTTATGTGAAATGGTATGAAGGTGTCCGATCTCCTGGAACTGGAGTTACAGAGCAGCCACTGTTCTTAACCGCTGAGCCATCTCTCCGGCCCCCGAAAGGAATAAATCTTAAAATATTTAACTATGTGTATATGTATGGGTATGTGAGTGTGTCCTCGGAGCCCAGACCCTGGAGCCGGAGTTAAAGTATGTTGCGGGCCGCTCCATTTAGGGAGTGGGAATCGCACTCCGGTCTTCCGGAAGGGCAGCAGCAATCGCCCTTGATCGCTGAGCAGCCTCCCCACCCCTGATCTGTGCTTGTTTGTTTCTTTCCACACGGGCGCTGGAGGCGCACAGTGTACTGCCGTCTGCGTGAAGCGTCCCAGGTTTTGAGGAGGAACCGTTCCCATGAACCAGTGTGCAGCCTAACAGATTCACAAAAGGAAGCTCCCGGAGAGGGTCGGACAAACCGGAAGCAGGAAGTGGGGACGGCGCACGTGCTGACATCACGCTGGCGCCGGCGGCAAGGGGCGGGGGCGAAGGCGGAGCGAGCTGGGCGGCGGGGCGGCCGCGCAGTGTCCGGGATCCAGGCCTGGCGGGGGTTGCGCGCGCGGCCGGCCGGCTCTGCTCGTACCCGTGTCGGCTCCCCAGCGGGGCCTCGCTCGGGCCCCCTCATGTGACGGCGCCTCGCGGAGCCTGAGTGAGCAGCGGGTCCGTGCGGAGCCGGAGGCGGGAGGAACATGACATCGCGGAGGTGAGCCGCCTGCAGGGGCCGGGCCGCGGCCTGGGTCCCCGCCGCCTCCTTGCTGCCCGGCCATAGGGGGGTACACCCGCTCTCCCCGTCGGTCCGGCGTCCCCGCTGCCCACCGCCCCGCCCGCGGGTCCCCATTCATTTCCTGCCGCCAGAGTTCCTGCTCCCGGGGCCCGGGATGTCCGTGGGGACACCCGCGGCCCTGCCGGCCGCTGCATTCCTGACCCATTGCCTCATGAGCGTCGCCTCCTGGGGATTCCGAAATAACCCCGCGCTCTCGGGGAGGCGCCTGAGCCATAGCGGGGCCTTCACGCAGGACCCCTTATAGGTGCCCCCTTTCCGCGTCTTGCCCTCGCCCCTAAGTGCCAGAAGTGGGAAAACTGACGCTGTCTGCCGCCGATGAGAGTATTCCCTACTGTGATCTTCGCTGTGAAAGGTGGGAGGGAGGGGAACCTTACCTGGTCATGGAATCTTTCTCTCTGGTTACTAGCGTGTTCCCGTTTTACGGATGTGGAAACTGAGGGTCCTAAGTAACGTGCTCGTGACAGGACAGGATTTGAAGCTAAGATCAGGAGGAGGATTAGTGAGTCAGTGGGCTCCTTTGAAACTTCATGGTAGCAAGACTCAATTGCTGACACTGACTTTGCTCTTACTAGAGGCCAGCCTAACACGTTTTAGTACGGCGATCTCCCTCCGGTTCTAAAGATGAGCAAAGTGAGTTTTTAGAATTAAGCAAATTGTCGTATGTTCCCTTCGCAAAGTGGTGGAGCCAGAATCTGTATGTTAATTACTATGCTGCCGTTATTGTTCTGTAACTGTTGCTAATTATTTGTAAGCTGTAATTTTGTTGCTAAACACTAGTGTGACCTCTGGTTTTTAAATAAGGATGGTGCTGTTTCATACCTCTCCTAGACCACTCACACACATGTCCCATTGTCTATTCTTTTCCATGACGCTTCAGTTTTATGGCTACCAACCGAGACATTTGAAAAATGATTTCAAGCTGTTGGCGTGTACTTGAACAAGAGACCTTTCAGAATACTAGCTCCTCAAAAATACACCTGAATGGTATTCCTTCATGGTTCAGGAACCAAAAAAGGGAGGAAAGGAAACTGTAAACTCGGAGGAAATGAGTGACTTGGACAGGTCTCTTGGCATGTGCCTGCAGATCCGGGTAATATCTAACTCCATTTCAACAGAACAGTGCATAGAACTCAAATGTTCTAATTCTTCAGGGAGCTTTTCAAATAAAACAGTTGTCTATTCTTTAATCTGCTAAATAGTCATTGAATCTTTTGTTCCTTTTGTCTGCTCTTCCAGCCCAGTAAGAATCTGCTGCTTTAGGAGACAAAAAGACGGCGCTGGGGGCGGGGAGAGGGGCGAGGAGTAATAGACCCCACATTGTCCAGCTTCATAGTGTAGAAGCAGGGCAGTGTGGGCACAGCCTAAGCAGCAAGTTGTCGGGATGACAGTGTGGAGTAGAGCCGTCCCTTCCCCTCAGCCCTGGCACTTCGTGCACCTGTCACACAGAAGTATGTGTTTCCTGAAGAGCCACATGGTGGAACCCAACACACATAAAGTGGCCGTTGTGTACTATTTTTAAGTCGTGAGGTTGATGGATTGACACAGGGTCTCTCCCTGTGTTGCCCAGGTTAGCCTCCAACTTATATTCCCTTAACCTCAACCTCCTAAGTGCTGGCACTACAGGCTGGATCATATGGGAACTTGCTTTATTTCGCTTTAAAACCAGCTTTATTGAGAGAGTTGCATCTAATTCAATGTACGATTTGGTAAACCTTGACTTTTGTGTGTACTTGGGAGACCATCACGGCAGTCAGGATAATGGACATATCCCCTGGTCCTGCTGAGTTTTGCTCAGCTTACTTTTACCAGTCCTTTGACCACTATACTGCTCTTACCATCATTAGTTTGCATTTCTTAGAATTTTATAAAAATAGAATTAGACAATATGTACTCTTTTTGAGGGCACGAGGTCCTGATATTTTTATTATTGAAAGGCTTTTTTTTTTTTTTTTTGGTTTTTCGAGACAGGGTTTCTCTGTATTGTTTTGGAGACTGTCCTGGAACTCGCTTTGTAGACCAGGCTGGCCTCGAACTCAGAGATCCGCCTGCCTCTGCCTCCTGATTGCTGGGATTAAAGGCGTGCACCACCAACGCCCGGCTGAAAGGCTTTTTTAAAGAACATTTATTCATTGTGTGTGGGCCCATGCCATGGTGTGCATTTGTAGGTCAGAGGACAGCTTGTGGAAATTGGCTTTCTCTACTACACAGGTTCCAGGGATTGAACTCAGGTTGTCAGGCTTGGTAGCAAGTGCCTTTATTGCTGAGCCGTCTCACCAGCCCTGTTTCACTTTTTTTTAAAGCATTTATTTGGGGTGCATGTGTAGTTCTTCAAATATATGAAGATCAGAGGTTCCATCCTTGCACAGGTTGTCCTGGGGATTGAACTCAGGTTGTCAGTAGATGCCTTTACCCACTGAGCCACCACAATGCCATGCTTTCTATATGTTTTTTTCTAGGAGAGGGCCTCACTATGGAGCTCTAACTGTCCTGGAACTCAGTCTGTAGACTAGGCTGGCCTCAAACTCACTGAGACCCACCACCTCTGTGATGCTGGGATTAAAAGTGTGTGCCACCACACTCCAGCATAGCATACCTGTTCTGAGATCCATCCACACCGTCTGAGAGTTCAGTTACTTGTTTCTGCTTAGTTGTGAAGCATTCCATTGTAGGCTGCTTACTTATTTACCCTTTATGACAGAACTTTGGCTGTTTCTAGAATTTATCACTCACATGTGACATTGTGAATGTTCCTGCAAAGGTGTCATCAGGGTTTCATCCCTCTTTAATGGCCATCGGCAAGTTGAATGCAGAAGTGCTTCTGCTATTTACTTTCCAGCCATACTCTGAGAGTTGCATACAGCTTGTCCATTATCTTCACCAAACTTAGTGCACTAGTCTTTTTAATCTGAGCTTTTTTTTTTTGTAGGATGTATGTCAATTTAGTTCCGATTTCTTTCTTTCTTTCTTTTTTTTATTTTCCAGTAGGGTTTCTATGTGTAACAGCTCTGGCTATTCTAGAATTAGTGTTGTAGACCGGGCTGGCCTGGAATTCACAGGTATTCACCTGCTTCTTCCCATGTGCTGAGATCAAAGGCAATCACCACCACTGCCCATCTCCCACTTTCTTTTTAAAGATTTATTTATTTTTATTTTGTGTGTATGGTATTTTACAGGCACGTGCACCACACACACCTCATTCCTGCAGGTGCCAGTCATTCATTATTGTGTGAAAAGTGGGTACCTGCTAGCTCTCCTGTGGCTGTCCAGTTGCCCTAGCACTGTTCCTGCGGAGCCTGGCTCTACCATAGAGGCTGCTTCTTTCATGGATACTTCTCTGCCTGTCTGAATGGTCTTGGTTCTTTTGTTATAGAAACTTTTTCTGTTTTGCGTGTGTGTGTGTGTGTGTGTGTGTGTGTGTGTGTGTGTGTGTGTGTGAGAGAGAGAGAGAGAGAGAGAGAGAGAGAGAGTACTCACATGGAGAAGTCAGATGTGAGAGAGAGAGAGAGAGAGAGAGAGAGAGAGAGAGAGAGAGAGAGAGAGAGAGAGAGAGAGAGTACTCACATGGAGAAGTCAGAAAACAACTTTGTGGAGTTACTTGTTTCATTTTCACCTTTATACTTTATAAGCATTCTGGGTATCAATTCAGGTCCCTAGGTGAGTGCATTTACACCCCCCCCCCCACCCATCCTGCTGGCCCAAGGGTCTGAGAACACAACTGGGTTTTGATGGGGATTCTGGGAAAGTCTTTTTGAGGAAGTGATCTTAGGAACATAGGAACTGACACTTGAATGACAAGCACCACATTGACATTTGTTTTGCTTAATTATCACATCAAAGGTTTTTTTTTTGAGACAGGGCACTATGTCACACAAGTGGACTAGACCTTTCTATGTAGAGCAGGTGACCTTGGGCTCACAGAGATCTACCTGCCTCTTGAATGCTGGGAATAAAAGTGTGTGCAACCACCCCCAGCCTTCAGCTAGTTCATTTTGATTAGTGTCTGTAGGCTTTAGATCTCTGCGAGCAGTTAGTAACCAGCATGTTGGTACATTCAGTATGTTGGCTTCTCAACCTTTAAGGAAGGGAAACTGAATCGTGGATTAATTAAATGATTTGTCCTGGGGAATCCAGCTGAGAGAATAATGAACTTAGGTGTTAAAATTTGCCCTACCTTGCCCTCACTCAGCTGATGAAACTGCCTGTCTTTTGAAGCCTTCTTCCTTCAGTTGGCTTTTGTTCCTCCAAAAGATACATGTGATGACTTGAGCTAAGGGTGGATAGTTGAGATGTCCTCAGACTGGAGGGTTCTGGTTTGTCATTGCAGGTCAAGTACATTTTGTCCCAGGTGCTCCCTGGCAGCCTCATTAGTTTATCTCCTGGGGGAGTAAGTAAGCTTGTAAGCTTGTGCTGCTGAAAACCAGCAGTCCCCGTGCTTCTCCAGTGGCGTCCCACGGTCTTTATTCATGTTGTGGTGCGATAGAAAGCCAGGGTTTGGGCTGGAGTTCCCAAGAGCCTGGGCTGTACCAGTTGCTTTACATTCTTCCTCACACTCAACCTGCACACTGTTAGGGGATGCACATGATCTTGGAGTGACAGAGCCACATCGTGTTTGTAATTGTCACTAGCAGGCCCTGGTGGATGTGGTCAGGCAGCCACAGAATGATAGTGGCACTGAGCTGATTGCTTTTTGCTTCAGAAAACAGGGGGTACTTGCCATCGGAGACTGATGTTTTCTAGGGGAAGGGCAGATGGCAGGGGAGTTTTGAATTGTACCAGTGCTTGAGAGTCCTCAAATGGGTTCCAGTGCTCTAAAGTGCAGCCCGATTCATTATTGTGACATTGAGTGTCCTGTGCGTTTGGCAAAGGTGCTGTGGTACTTGGCAGAGCTGACATGGGAAATGCTCTGTGAATTGTGCATC